CGCCGCCGTTAGATCAGTCCCAGAATCTGTATAACATGTCCGCCTGGCGTGAGAACGGTATCACAACTCTCAGGTTCTTTAGGAAGAGGATTACCGGCGACAACAAAGACTTCCAGTTCACAGACACCAACTGTCCTTATCTTATATTCCCAGTCATGGGAGGAGTTTTCAATGCCGTGAATAAAAGAATCAGAAAACACGAAACAACTCCTATTATATCCGACAGAAAAGTCTGCATTAGTAGTTGTAAGACAACCACTACTGTCACGACAGCACCGGTCGTAACCACTGCCAAACCAGACACCGAACAGCCCATCAAAGTTATCGACAAGAGTAGGCCTAAAGACACGGACACATCGGTTTTGGTGCCGACGACTCCGATATCTTTGTCAACGCAAACGCCCAACGATTTAAACATCAAAGAAAAAGAAGATATAAATGATGTTTCGTTTAGAATTGAACTCAAGTTTCCCGGAATGTGGAAACAGAGTTTGAGTAATAAATATTCCGATAACTATAAGACTCTTGTGTCTAATATTAAACAACAAATGCACAGCGAATTGTCTAAAAAGTATCCGACATTTTCTAAATTGGATGTGAAAGAAGTGTCCGGACACGACACCGATGTGAACGATGCCATCGCTTCCATCGATTTAGACGTTCAGCCAAACAATAATCAAAATGAAAACACAAAAACCCATTCTATATTGTCTACGGTTTTAAATGCCATTATAAGCGATGAGATGTTAGGAGACTTACGAGTCGATCCTAAATATTTAATTATTGATAATAAAGGTTTGATTTGAGTTTACAGCTTAATTCATATGCATTTAATTAAATGTAACGGAATATTATTATATTTACAGTGGAAGAAAAACCATGGTCAATTCGAGGCTTTTTTGAAAACATTTTTCAATTTAAAGGCGAAGAGCAGATGAAATGGATTATAATATTCGTGGGAATCGCAGCACTAATTGGATTAGTAATAATACAAGCAATTTGTATGCTTTGCAACAATAGGAATAATAGGAAAAATAAAGCCAAAAATGTAAAAATACATAGAATTGAAAAACTTAAACATGAAAAATATAATTAAAAAATTAATTCATTGAATAATAGGACAAAACTGCACCCAATTCTCAATATAAAGACTACGCGGACGTCAGCGCCAGAAGTGGTTACAGTTATGATAATTACGGGGCGTCTGACGAAACGGACACTCCATTGAATATAAACGGACAAAGTCTGGGGAGGAGTGAGAAGATGACAAACGGACAGAACAAACAGTTTTACAAAAACATATCTGAAAAGATGCCCCAAAAGTACATAAGTGCCACATTGGAGAGACAACCCGTGCGCTCTCAACGCGAGCTGACGGCCAGCGCTTACGCCACACACGACCGCAAAGAGGCCTACAATCGACACTTCAATCAGCCGTCATTCTCGCCATCACTTCAGCCCGACTTCTACTTTATGCCACACCAGAGACGATACTCTGGAGAAGTGGTCCGAGTGTTTGTCGACTATAATAATCCTCAATTCACCCCCAAATAGGACTACAATTTCATTTGGTTTTGTTGTTATCATGTTATTTAAATATAGACATCAAATACTCATTGCATTTGGTTTTGTATTATCAAAGAGTTTTCGGTTATTCTTCAGAGCATTATTTCCTTTATTTAATTTATGTGTGTTTTTTTGCTCAAATGTTTATTATTAAGACAATTGATTACTTATTAAAAGAAAAGTTGCCATTCAGTCAATTCATGTCTTTTCAATTTTATTTATCAAATCATAAAACTTTTAAAACTTCTTAACAAATATTAACAAAAATATAGACCTTTAAAAGTATTACAATATAATACGAGTTTGAGATTAAAATACAGATTAATTGTGCAAAACTGGTCTCTCAAAGGGTCTGATGTGCTTTGAAAAGCAATTATCAGATATTCGTGATATAACTGTGAATTAATTCCCAGAATGAATGACAAAACAAAATGTTTAAATCGTTGAATAGACTATTCATGAAATTACCCGCAAAACAAAGTTCACATCGATATTCAGTAAGAAAAAATGTAAGCTATCAACGAATCAATCAACAAATCATTTGTTAATAAATGGGCAGAAAAATCATTTGTTGGTTTGAAAAGTCTAATTAAATGCCAATCTATTGTATGTCTTATACGTCTAATTAGGAGTTATCTGAATAAGTCATTTGTGAACATTTGGTGTTATTTAGTGTTATAGTTATTGAAATGAGTAAAACCTGTTCAAAATGAGTTCATCTCTCAAACGATTCAATTTTTTATGGAAAACTTTTTTTATAATGGGTTATAAAATGTTTGTATATTAAATAGGAGTACAGTAATTGTAACTCTTTTACGATTCATTTGGATTGAAATGAATGCACAAAATATGTGTATTTAGGATATCTATTATAGGATTCGCTGCCAATTCAACAACTTTTAAAAAACTCTTTAACATTGATTATAAAGCTCTCGTAAAAAAGTAGGCGTCAATCTTGAACTCAATAAAAACTAACCGATTATTAAATATGATTACCATTTGTATTTAAATTGCAACTTTTTCGCAATTTCGCAAAACATAACTTATGGACACTTATATCATAATCACCTAAAATACAATAAATACAAATACAAAATGCAAGTTAAGTGTCGGCTTAGATGTTGTCATTAAGTTTAAAGAGCTCTACCATTAGATATTGAGATGATTTTTAAAAACAAATTCAATTTTGAACTATTTCAATTTTTATTCAATATGAAAACATATAGAACTTTATAATTTAGCAAACATGTAAAATTAGTAATTCTGTCAACAGATATGTATGTATTGATAGTTTAATCATTAAACTTTAATGACTATCAAATTGATAGTATTAATCTGATTTAACTAACATTATTGATTAATGTTAAACAGTTAGTGACCATTATTGAACAAATATTGAGTTTTGCTAAATTTTATCAAATAGACTTTTGGACTTTTATGTACTTCTTTAATAAAAATATTATAAGTTTAAAAACATTATATAATATATAAATTATAAGATACTAATAAACATAATCAAATAATACAAGTACAGTAAAAATTTTTGCTCCATGGTCAAATGCTATTAGTTGAAAATAATTCGAATGATGTAATTGTTATTTATGTTGTTATACAACATTGGGTACAGTATTCTGTATATTAATTTGAGTGCAAACTGAGTACATATTACTGTTATGTAAACTTTACTTATATAAGAGGAAAATGGTTTAAATAGTAATATGTACATTTTGATAGTACTTTATTAAACATGTGTTCGGCTACTTATGGGTTGTCGTCTTTGGGCCGACCGATAGTCATAAACGAAGGCTTTGACGAATTGCCGGTAATTCGATGGGCAATGATGTGTGCGATTGTGTTGACCGCACTCTTTCTCAAATTCAACGAGTGTTTAGTGTTTCGGACGCTTCGGTCCAACAATTCATTACAAACCCAGCGCTTAACTAATAGACGCCGAATATCTGACTATTTGTTTGGCTTTTATACCATCAGTTCAGTCATACATACTGTCCATTATGTAGACAACATCTACCGTCCCATCCATTATTTTGAACCCAAATATTTGTATCAAAAATACTTGATATCTGCGATGGAAATCACATTTATGATCAATTTTCCAATTATTCTGACAGGTATTTCAAACGTCAAGACATGTATAATAAATATAACATTTTACAATTTATCTTGATTAACAAATTCACCGTATTGTTTCCAAGAGTAAAAATAACAATTATATATTTATTACTACTATTGCATAATGTTTTAACTTACAAGACATTGCAAAAATAATTTATTTGCATTTATATTTACAATAAGGTTATTACGGAATAACAAGAATCTTGTGGTCATTATACAAAGGAAATACACAAACTGTTAGCCGATGGTGTGGTTTGTTATTGATATACACACTCTTAACTCTATTACCAGTACTACACTACCGAATAGAGCCCATTCGCTCATTCCGGGGATCAGTTAACTTCAATATCATT